CAATCCATTCTCAGTTTGGCTTCAGATGAGCTTTTCAGTTCATCAGTTCCAGGATCCATTGCCCTCTCTTTATCATAGCTTCACCAGACAATTCATATGCACACCTGTTGGTAAGGCTCAGTAATACGTTTTCCTCCACATGCTCAGGTTGTTTTGATCCTCTAAGATGCTGCCCCCAAACCATCTTCTCAGGAAACCTTCCATATTCCCAAGTAGTATTGATTCCCCCTGCAGGAGAGGAGTCCTATCCGATTCATAAGTGTATCCCCAGCACCAGCACAAACATAGCAGATGCTCAGTACATATTGGTTAAATGAATTGATAGTCTTCTCCGGTTCTCATCTGCAGGTTAGAGTATATCTTAGCTGGGAATGATAGTATTTCTCACTCCTAAAGTCTGCCAAAAGCTTTGGTACCTCTGACTTATTGCCCATTTATTGCTGAAATGATTTACTGGTTCTTAGTCTCAGCTGGGCATCCTGGAGATGTTTGAGAGGCAACCACTTGTTTTCTGACTTCAAGGATGAGAACTCTTAACAGTATCTCCATGCCCAGCCTTTGCTTATACTTTAAAGTAAACGTGTCTCATTTCCCTAAGATGTGGCTTTCTGAGCTTTGAAATAGGGGTAACAACACCCGCTATCTCAAATAATACCCTTCAGACATGCCTCAGGAATGCAAAGGTATGACATTTCATCTCCATGCTCCACCCAGATGGGGATTGAAAGTAAGTCAATGAGAGGAGGCATCAGCTGTGTCTGTCCACTCACAGAGCGTTCATCTGCCTCGGGCTCCTGGAGCTGACCTCATTTCTTCCAAAAGGCAAAGCAAGTATCTTGCAAATAAACGCTCAACCTGGGAACACAGGCTTGGCAGTGCCTCCCCACCCATATCAAGACTCTTACCTGGATAGAGCATGGAAGGGAATGAACTTGAAGGAGGAGTCCCCTTATGTCAGGGGACGATGGACTGAGATGGAGAAATCACACTGCCCAGCGCAGTCACCACTCACCACTGGTGTCTACGCTCCTTTTTCTTTACACTAAGATCCAGTGTAAAAAATAAAATAAAAGGGTGCAGAGTCTAAACTATATTGGGACAAGAGTATGTGTATCGGGGGTGCCAAATTTTAGTCATTCATTCATCCAGCAAATACTTACTGAGAGTCTAATAGGTTTTCACCATACCCCTCCCAATGGGATGTGTCATAATGAATGCTACCTAGCTACTACATGGAAGGCAGGTGACAGGGTGATCATTTGACTTCAAACTCTTTTCACTGCAATCTATTCAGCTCCCAGCATAAAGCATTCCAGAAGCACCAAGTAAATTGATGTAATGAAAACAGGAAGGCCAGTTTTGTTTTACTGTTTTGTTGTTGCTGTCTTTGTTTTTCCTGGCCACACATTTGTATTCCATTCCTCACCCTGTTCTCTTCAGTGCGTGGGGCATGGGAGTAGAGAGGGACAGAGAATTCCCCAGATGAAGACCAGCAGATATAGCTGAAGGGCCTGCGGGACTCTACGAGCAAGAGAAACTGAAGAGCAGAGTCCAGGGATGTTATTCAAAAAAAAGGGAAAGGGACTCAGAGTAGCTTTGTCAGCAAAATCTTGGGGGAGAAACCAAGCATTTTCTCTCCCTCTCCATCTTCCTCTCCCCCTCCCCCACCCCCTCCCTCTCTCCCCCTCCTCTTCTCTTCAGCTCTGTCTTTTAACTCTGTCTCTGCCAATCTGTATGGATCCACTGTCTGTCTACCTATTTACATACTTATTTACCACCTATATCTCCTTGCTCTCCTCCATTCCCAGTTCCACTGATTCCAAGCAGAGGTCTGAACTAAAGTCTTCAACATAATCAGGAAGAAATTAGCCTTCAGGAGAACTCAACCCTAGCCCCAGTTCCTGCCACCGTGAGGTCTCATTGCCGAGGAAATAAATGAAGTCATCTTAGAGAATAGACCTTCTATGATTGTGTTATAATCTTACCCTATTTGTCTTCATATTGGAGGGGGAAAAGGTGCTGATGAGAGTCAGGCAACCCTGTGATCTTGTAGGCAAGAGGATATGCTTTCGTCACTGTGTGGATACGACATGTAGAGGGGGTGATTTCTCTGCCAGGTGTAAAAAGGCCAGACTGCTACTTCTAGCTCTGCAAGCTCCTTACCACCGGTGGCTCTTGGCGTTCCATTAGGTAAAGTGGATGAGGGACTGGTGTTGTACACATCATCCCATGAAATCACTGCGGTGACACTGGATACATATTATTATCTCTATTTTTAAATTTTATTTATTTTTATTTTTTTGGATAAGAGAAAGTTCAGAGAACTTAGGTTATTTTATTTAAGTCCTCCACAGCTTATGTACGGCAGAGTTAGGATTTCAAATAGCTTCGCCCTATGCCAAAACCTATGCTCTTTGCAATTCCCTTTATTGGGTTTCTAACGAGTAAAGTCTAGATTGAGGTCTGGTCACTCCTGGATTGGGCTGGGCCTGAGTTTTATTATATGTAAGTTGGCCACATTGACCAAGCTGTTGGAGCTACTGAGAAGTGCTGAGCCTGTATTCTTCCCATGCTTGAACTGCCAGGCGTGCTACTGGTCGCCGGAGTCCTCAGCTGGCTCAATCTTACCCTTAAATAATTGAATTATAATGAACTGATTTATTCTGGCTCTTCTGATAGTATTTCCCTATGTAAACTGTTTGCAGAAATAAACAAGGGATTTTGGAGCTTGGAAGGGGCTCAACATTCTGCTGCCCCTGAATTCAGTGACTCCTTTTTTCAGCGAGTCAGCATCGTAGACATCTAAGCCTCATTCCTACTTGACTCAGGCTCCTTCTATTGGGGGGGATTTGGGGCTCCTTGAAAGTACTTCAAGTGAGTACTGATTTCACAAGCTGATTCCATTCAACCCCTCAGAAATAAGTTGACCCCTTAAAAGATGAAGAGTATCTTTTCTCTTGACCATTGTTTGAGAATGTGCAAAGCATGCTTATGTGCATTTCCTATGAGAGTCCTATGGCTATGCTGAAAGGTCGTCTTGGCTGGGACAATCATTTCTGTGTTATGGAGAGAAGCCAGATGCTGAGCAGGAAAGCTCATTATGAAAGTGACATAGCTAATAGAAGGGACGAAAGTCAAATCTTGGTGTGAAATAGGGTTCCACTCCCTTATTCTGGTGTGACTGGGGGAAGGGTGTCCTACATCAGGCAGTATCCTTAGGGTGGCCATAGGTTCTGATTTGCCTGGGATAGTCAGCTTTCCCCAGGATATGTGCCTATTGTCTGAACATAGTGTTTCATAGAATCTCAAAGTGCACTAGCATGGATGGTAAATTATATGATCACCCTAAGACCCTGGGTGGGGACTGGATTTCCAGGCGCTCACAGTCTTTTGGAATAGCTATGGGGTGTAGACATAATGGCAGCACAGAGTGATGAGTATTAAGGTGGGGATCTTTATAAACTAGGAAGCCATGCAGGAATGGGGTATTTAACTTTGCCTACAAGAGTTGGGAAAAGAGCACACAACACCTGACATTCAAGTTGTTAAAATGTGGGCAGAGTGATCTCCTTCAGCTGGCTACATCTAGAGTTCTCCTTGTGTTGTTCCGTGTTAATTACCAAGAAGCACACATAGGTCCTGCCTACTTAGAAGGCATCCCACTAGCTCTGTACTTCCGTGATCTTTGGCCTTGCAGATACGTGTGCATCACTACAGCCAGCTGCAGCTTGAAATTCTCCCAAGCAGAAGTTTTTCTTGTGATCTGAATTACCTGGGGGTTTTATTGACCTTACATGAAATGGCTAAGATATCCAACAAGCCCTTAGAACCTAGAGCAGTAGAAAGCAAGGGTTCTGGGAGACCCAGGAGTGTAACCCCCTTCTCTAGACCAACAATTATGCCCAGAGAGGAAAAGGGACTTGTCTAAAGTAACAGTGACTTCTTTACAGAGTTGGGACTGATGCCAGCCTCTCTGGTGTGTAAGTTCACTGTTTCTGTGAAACCGAAATCCTCTTTGGAGTTAAATATACCTCAGTTTTTGACTGTGGAGTTCTGCGGTGTCAGATAATATACCCAGAATTTGGAAAGCGAAAGCTTGAGTCTGAAACCAGGAGCCAGCATTAACACACTGTGTGACCTTGGGCAAGTTATTAATGACACGTGGAATCTCTGTTTGCTAATCTGGAAGACTAAAAATCTAAAATAATAATTAAAACAATAATACCTCCCTCGCAAGGTTGCCGTGGGCTCACTTGGGGTAATGAGGGTGGAAGTGTGTGTGTGTGTGTGTGTGTGTGTGTGTGTGTGTGTGTGTGTGT